TATTCCAATAGATCTTCTGCCTCCAAAGCACTGAAATTAAACGCCTCTGTCGTCATTCGCCGAGAGTGAAAGCAGTCGATTATCGGACTCCGTCAATTAACCATAATTGCCGAAGGAGGCGAGGGCGAGATGTAAGGGGATTGAAAAATAATACGCGAGGGGCGAGTCTATTCTCGACTCGTGTCGAACGAGAGATCCAGACCATTAGGAAATTGGCCGACTAATAATAGTTCTGTTGCAATGCGTAACCCGTTACGTAAACTGACTCCTTCAAATTTATTATTTTTTTTTTTTTTTTTTTTTTAAATAAAAACTCGCATATATAAAAATATACAGGGTGTTTCTCGAATCGATCATCATAATTTTTTAAATATTTCCGATGAGTTGACAACCAAATGTTTCTAACAAAAGTTTGTTGATTTTTAACGAAAAATTAATTGTGAAGAAAAATTTTTAAATTATTTATTTTTCAACAAAAAAATCAAAGTCAATTTATTTTTTTTTAATAGAAAATATATATTTTTTTCTTTTCATATTCTTGTAACACATAAAAAGATGAATTCATCGATATATTATTAAATTATATAACATTATATAATATATTATATAATATATAATGTTTTTTATTCGATTCCAAGATAATTCAATTAATACATTTATAATATAATCCACGAATCTGTCGTTGATAAAATAATGACACAAACGTAAACAAACATAACTGTAGGCGACATAGAAATGTACACTTTTCATAATAATCATCGAAATCATAAAGAAGAATTAAAACATACATAAAGTGGCGACTGATTTAAGGAACATCCTATATATACGAGATATACTTATAAGATTATATTTTAATTTCACTTTCAAATCAGAGAAAGAATTACAAGAAAGAGAATAAAGAATCATACAATTAAATAAATTTCCGATCAATGACGACTCTTGATCATGATCTGTCCAATCTGTTCTCGAGCGGAGCTCTTTAATTCACAGTTTACTGATTAGAGATTGACCTGCAATTCACTTTCTTATTATATCCTATCCCTTTTGGATTAATTCACGCGATTATCTCGAAATCGATATCTCTGATAACGTTTTTTACAACAAGTCGATAAATCGTCGCCTATCATCCGTCTCATGTTTCTTTCTGTCGAAGGAAGACAAAGAGAACAGAAGGATGATACAGCAATCCTCTGTTCGTGTAGAAATCCACAAAAGGCTAGTCGAAATCGAGTTGAACGAACCTTCTTTCGATGGCAACGACGACGACGGCCACCTACCTCGAGAGGATATCGATAGGAAAAAGCGGGGCGCCCCTCGAGCAAGCCTCCTGACCATACGACTGTGATAAATGGTGCAATTTTATGGGCAGCCAATGCTCGCTATCCTGGCGAACGTCCTCAGTCCCGGTCGATCCGCTTAAACTACGAAAATTATTTGCCATAAAACGACGGTGCACGTCAACTACACGAATTTCGAACAAAAGCCAAAGCCAAGACTTATGAAGAGCCTCTCGCGAGGAGATCCCGTAAAAGAAGATGGATATGAAGAAAAACATATGCTCACACGAGGCAATATGTGTTTCCTATCCTATGTTTATTCATTCCTCTCCTTCCATTTTCTTTATCTCGAAGCGTTTGATATTTCATATCTATCCCGAGACTTTTATTGTTGGATCACGTTGAGAGAAAAATATTTAATGACTATAATTGTATGCTAAAATAATTATAGTTAAGAACTCAATTTTTATTGATATGACCAGGATTTTAGTAATAAATATTATATTTGTAGTCTTATTTAAAAAAATATAAAGCTGACACCGAAAATAAATTGCAATGATTGTAAATTAAATTACAATCATTGCAACCATTTCTTTCTTTCAATTTAGGGAATTCAACATTCGACATAATACAAGCTTTACACGATTAGCATTGTTGACAATATTTATAGCTCAGTTTTATGTACATAATTGCGAAATTATATTACCGGAAATACTAGATGCACTCTTTTTAATGCCAAAAAATAAAATAGTAAACGAATTGGCCAATTACAGTAGAGACCGTAAAACAATAACGTGAGTAACAGCAAATCCAATGATTTCTTTACTGCTTACATCTTAAGTTTTTCTGTTTAAGTTTTTCTACGTGCCATTAGTTCTTAACGGATCTTACATGGTCGATAATAATTAGAGGTCGTCCGAAACAATAATTAAATTTCTGCCCAAATTGAAATTTCGATTGTGTGTCAATTTTAGCCAAAGAATATAAGTACTTCTCCTTCATAAACATCATAATTATTGAAACAATAATTACACCTATTAAAATACACTACACAATTACACATATTAATGTTATGAAGAAGAGCTATATGATTTCAGTCGAAAATGATACGTTTGAGTTACAATAAAAGTTTCAGATTCTATTATATTAATAGTAGAATGTCAATATAAATACTGATAATATTATCAATGATCCAGATTTCTTGATTCTTGAGCTGTGGTAGGAGATAAAGCTGATGCTCGAGAATAAAGAAATTCAGATTGCCATCAATCCATTAATTTTAACCATACGATTAATAACATCAGTTAGTATTAGTCTATCAGTTATTGATAGTATTATTGACCGTAAATTGACCGTCCATATAAAAGTTTTTACGATACGAACGCAGTCATTCGCAAAGTTCTCCTGGAACATAAGCGACACGCATGAAGGGCTGATGTTTCGTTTTTCACGACGCGTGCATTTTCGCTTGGCAACACTTGGCGAGGAGAAGAGAGTGGCGTATAATATCATACGGTAATGCGTAATTGCAAGGCCGCGACCGACGGCGCACCTCTGGGGGTCGGCCGAGTGACCCGGGAGAGAAGAAAGGGAGGGATCAATTAATTATTTCTTTATAATCGATCGAGCGAAGAGCGTAAATCTTCCAATATCCTCACGCGGATCATTAACTCGGGCCGCGCTGATTATTAACGCGCGATAACTCATTGGTTTTATCGTTCTTATCGCGTCGCACCACTACAGTGCCTTTGCCGACCACCACAATTAACGCGCGTCGTATAATTTATCCGATAAGTCGCACAGTGATTGGTCATCGATGTCGGATATAATTACCGCCACGGAGAGGAGGATCCGGTCAGCGATGACGCGCGTTGCCTTGAAGCAATAAGCACGTTGCGCTTGTGGAAAATTAATAGGCCAATGCAGGAAACGGCGAACGCGTTTTTCCTTAACGGGTCCGCATTAGACGATAATTTACGGGCTGTTCAAGAGGGCGCGATAAATCTTCATTACCGCGAATAACACCGCGAGATTAATCATATTGCTGTTCGTTGTTGAGGAGAGGTCATCTTACCCCCATGGCGAGGATGTTGCTCGCTCCGTATCGCTGATCGTTATTTCACGATCGATCTCTATCGATCGTAATCGGAGTATGACTCGAACGATATAATAATAATACGCAGTCACATGTCATTCGAGTAAGGAAAAATACAGCGTATAAATATAAATAAAATGAATATAATATATAGAGATTCTGAGAAATAAATATAATATACTATATTATAATTATACTTACCCAATTTTATAAATAAAAATCTATTCTTCTGAGAGGAAGAGGAGTTGTCACGTGTCTAAATCATTGAGATGTCTCTTTTACGTTACTAATTAGATATTACATAACTAATTATCTTAAGAGGACTCTAACGGCGACTCACATACAAACGATTTACAACACAGATATGCAATTTACGAAACATCGACACGTTACTGTATATACTACTATGGACGATCCGATTTACGCTCACAATGCTCATGAACATCATTTATCCTTGTTGACATTTGATAAACAATAAGAATGAAATGATTCTTAAGTGTCATAAGCGTGAATCTACATCAACTATTGTACGAAAAAATATGCACTTTAATCTTTTACTCTCATTACGATGTCTGACCTAATTTTGAGAATTCAACATTGTTTGCAGCTCTGGCTGCTCTCATTTCATACCAACAGACTGCAAAATTTTTGAATGAAGCAAATATGAACATCCGTTGATAACTTTACAACAAAGATCTAAATTTCTTATGGATGTATTAGACGTACAGTCGTTTTTGTTTAATAACACATTTTTGTAGTTTATTTATTTTATTTGTTATTATTTTTATTGTTAAAAATTAAAATTTTAAAAATGATGGAAAATTTTACATTTTTCTTTTACTGATTAGTTAAAAAGATATAGAACACATAAATATTGTGTTTATTTATTGAACCACTAATTCATGCATCGGATTCTAACTACGTAAATAATCTTGAACATCTTGATACATAATTATATTTCTTATATTAAAAAATTAAGATTTTTATCATTTATTTATGTAATAATACATTTCCATATATTTTTATTAGAGCATAGATTTAAAAAATACTACTATTTATTAAAATAATTTAAGATTAGATAGTAAACCAAATTTCATATTACTTTTAAACGTGATTTAAAATGTTCCGTAATATTTTTTTCATAAATTTATCATCACCTTTTTTGAAAATATATATAAAGCATCCTTAAATTTTTTTTCGACATAAACTTGATCAATCTGAATTACAGCTTCTACTTTAATTGTGGAAAAAAATTATTAAATCTAATGAATTGTGCAATTAAAATAATAGCGGGTTAGAAAATAATTCATTAGGTAGATAAAACACACACTCCAGAATCACCTTAAGCACAACTCAGAGATGTTGTATCCGTAAAGATTACTGAAATTTTTTCAAGAATATCAGCATAGCTAATATCTTTCGGCACATTTTCCTTAATTACGTCTCAAGGTCCAGACGCGATCGGGAATAATAATTGTTCAGTGAAGTGATCTATTTTCGTTAATTGGCAGCCGCTTGAGATGCTGCTCCGGATCTTTATTGTCGGAATTACCGAAGAGCCCGCTCGTAATGCATCTTACGTTACGCCGATGGTTCTCAATCTCATCCGTATTCGTTCTGCTTGACAGGGTACGAAGCTATGGATCATCATGGAATATCTGGGTGGCGGCTCGGCCCTGGACTTGATGAAGGCCGGTAGCTTCGAAGAGATGCACATTGCCGTGATATTACGCGAGGTGCTCAAAGGGCTGGATTATCTACACAGTGAGCGTAAGCTCCATCGCGATATTAAAGGTACGTTCGCTTGATAAGGCACGAAAGGTGTTTATTGATACCTTAATGCTCTTCATACACAGAGATTTCTAAAGATAGGTCCTATATTGATTCAATTTAGCAAAAGCATTAAATATGATCAGTATTTCGTCTAACTAAAATCCGCGTGAATTAATTGCGTTAATTGTGGCGCAAATCTCTATTAAAAAATATTTATTTATTATCAATTTATGTAGAAATTTACACAGAATGAAATTTATTCGTTATTAATAGTTCTTAATTAATTAATAATATACTGCCTTAATTATTTTTCTATTGGTAAAATAGAAGATTAAATATATGATTCGCATTGGAATTTTTATTGATTTTATAGCGGCGAATGTTTTACTGAGCGAAATGGGCGACGTCAAGTTGGCCGACTTCGGTGTAGCCGGTCAGTTGACGAACACCACCAGTAAACGAAATACTTTCGTCGGCACGCCGTTCTGGATGGCACCTGAAGTCATCAAACAATCCGCTTACGATTCCAAGGTAATTATACGTTAATACGTTAATTAAATTTCGTTAATTAAATAATACGTTAATTAAATTTCTATATTTTGCGGAATGCATCCGTCCATTGCTATAATAAATCAGGTTGCTGCCACATTGCTTAATAAACCAAGTTTATTAAGTTTATATATCTATATGCGTATCTCAAATACGAAAATATCTTTATTTATTTTCTGAAATTGTTTCTGAATATATACATTGTTATTATTTGTGTATATAAAATAAAATCAGTTTATTAATCTTTTTAAATATGACGATACAGTGATTTTCTCTTCCACTTCTCTTTGTTTTTTCTTCTTTGGAAATTGATTTCAAAGTGGCACGGTCACATTTTCATTAGCTTTTCATTAGCACTTCATTTAGCAAGTGATAACTTTGCGAACATTTGTCCCGCAGGCTGACATTTGGTCTTTGGGCATCACTGCGATCGAGCTCGCGAAAGGAGAACCACCCAACAGCGAGCTGCATCCCATGAGAGTTCTCTTTCTAATACCTAAGAACAATCCACCGCAGCTGACTGGGAATTACACAAAACAATTCAAGGAATTTGTCGAAGCCTGCCTCAATAAGGATCCTGAAAACGTGAGTATTCATGGCTGTTTATATTTTAAGTAAATAGTCGAATAGACGATCCCGCGTGTTCAAAAATATTTCTAACGTCGAATCATTCAACGTCTTAATAATCAATAATGCAATCAATAATACTAGAAAATTAGTTTAATGAATGAAAAATTTCGACATAAGAGAAACGTAATCGATTTTTATTTTGATCATTGTGCTTCTCATATCTGTGCAGAGGCCGACGGCGAAGGAACTGCTGAAGTTTCAGTTTATCAGGAAGGCAAAGAAGAACTCGTACCTGATTGACCTGATTGACAGGTACAAAAAGTGGAAGTCGCAGCGCAGCGAGGAGTCGGAGACCGAGAGCGAGAATTCGGATTCGTGAGTATCTTCGCGTTTCTGTTATGCTTCTTACGAAAGTAAAAGCTACCGCTTGTTATTTTCATACATTCAGAATCTTCTTTTTTTTCCGTTATTAATTCCACAATAAATTTATATCTCGAATGTGCAAGAAGAAGGAAAACCAGTTCGAGGCCGTTTATCAATTGCGCGGTATAATAGGCCACCATCCGAGCATGGTACTAAATTGTAACATACTGTATTACACGTTGTTAAGGGAGGAATCCAAGCAAGACAGTGACATGGACGAGCCATGGATAATGACGGTGAAAGGCCCGCATGGGGTTAAAGGATCCGTGGTGCCTATGCTGCCACTAGATGAACAGCCCGCATCTCTGACTCTAACACACACGAACCACAGGTCCTCCAATCACAATCAATCAAGTAAACCACACGCGAATGGTGCCTCGCGATCGCCGCCGAAGGATTCTACGCTTATTCATTACAGAAGCGAGTCCTCACAGAAGCGAGAGTTACATGATGGTCTAGTGAAACACGTGCCTGTGAGTTGCTGTTCCAATAATCAATTATTTAATATCTCATATTCATATTTATGTCTCTTTCTTACTTTCTTTTTTATTTTATAGCCCCGACCACATGAAGCCGCACCTCCACCACCGGTAGACACGAGAGAGAAACGAGATGAAAGAGACTATCGTGACTCTAGCCGAGAATCTACACTCAAAGAGTCAAAGGAGATGCGCGACAGTCGCGAGAGGGATAGAGAAGTCATCAGAGAACGAGAACGAGACAGGGAAGGCAGAGATCGAGATAGAGCCAGCAGGGACTTTAACTCACGAGAAAAGAGGAGAAACAGTAAACCAGACGTGCCCATCACTTCGATGGCCGATCATAGACCTAGCGAGGACAAGCAAAGACCCAGAAGTTCACAGGAGCTCAAGCATCCGCGAAGCGTTGCTTTGTCTGGTGTCGTTTTTCCTCTCCTTTCCGAGGTATTATAAGTAATACTTAAAATCTAATAATAAATACTATAAATGGTACAAATATAATAAGTGTAACAAGTTAAAACTATCGAGAATTTATGGAAATGACTTGTGTTTTCAATAAAATTACAGCTTCAACGAAAGCACCAATATTCGGTGAGAGACAATAATGGCGAGGGCGGTAGTGGTGGTGGCAAGAATGGCGGTGCTGTAGAAGAACTGCGAAGCGCTTTCGAATCGGCGGAACGCACGTCGCCGGGAATGACAGAGTCCCTTATCCGCGAACTGATCAAATCCTTACTTCCCCCCAATCATTCTGAAGGGCGCCTATCTATGCTAATGGAGAAGGTTATTTTAAGGTAATATCCTCTTGAGAAAAATACGCATCTCGGCGGTACATTTGAGCAAAAAGAACAACATGCTCTTTTGTTTTAGGGATACGTAGGGACGCGAGAGGACAAAGGTCCGCAAGAGACTGTGGTCCCAAAATATCCTAATATTGTAAAACCATACGTTATTTCTCTCGATTATCAATTTACTAATTAATACGAGCCGAGCATGTCGTCGATGAGTGGCGATTCCGAACGTGAACGTGAAGGTGCGAGGGAAATGTGTTCCTTGCCCCATCATCCCTCCCCGCTCTTCCCCTTTCTCACTAATCTAAAGGCCGTACTACAACGAAGTCTATCGAAGTTTTACGAAGTAGTCTACTGAACCGCCCCATTTTCATCTGCCTCACTGTAGGATAATAATACGTAGATGGACGGCAAATACATGCAAAACGTTGTGCCAGTATTCTTGCAGTTCCTACTCGTGTAATTGTTATCGATTTTTTTCTGAACTTCTCTAATGAGCTGTTCTACATTTATACGCTTTTCCATGTTTTTCCATCGGTTCGTCGCCCGACAGTTCATTTCAATCACGAATCAATTTCTCATTATGGAATTTGTATATTTTTGATTTTTAAAAAATTTGTTAATTTTTTAATATTCACGATTTTATCATTTTTGAAAGTATAAATCACATAAAGCTGCGTATTACGTTCAAAGGATATGTGAAACTATATTTTATGTTAAAGAAAACTAAAAAGTAACGTATTTAATGAAGAGTTCAATGTTATGGTATGTTATTTTTAATATACTGCTAGATGAAAAGAACTGTCAGTCGATTCCTTTTTTATTACTTTAGATATTGAAATGTACTTCATTATTAATAGATTAATTAGAGAGAATGTCGAGGAGAATATTCAATTTAATAGTTACGAAAAACCTTATCCTTGAAAAAAAAAAGATAACACTTTAGCAATCTTATAGCAATCAGTTACGAGTAGAGAAAGGCGGAAAATAGATGGCAGCGCGTTTGCGAAAAGGCTGAATCGAAACCTCCATACACAATAGCCTAATAAATATCTTTTAAACCTTCTTCATGTTCGGCGTGAACATCGATCTGGCGATACGACACAAAACAAAAATTGTACAGACTCGGCAAAAGGGATAGATGAAAAGTATTCGATGACTTGGTCTTGCCTCACACACAATATAGATACGTTTGCAGCATGCACTAGCGAGCTATCTCGAACATCTGTATAAACGTGATCTTTATTAAGGAAAAAAGTTTTAATTTTGTAAAGTTTTGAAAATCATACCTTTTTATTGATATTTCTCTTTACAGAGAGAATATTTATTTAATAGTACGTTCTAAAGGAAGAAAGTAGCAGCAAAGCAAAAGAAAAAAAGATGTATTCTTTGAGTAGATTTCTTCCTGTGGCTTCCTACGCTAGTGCATGTTTCGAACATGAAAGAAGAAAGCTCTAGTGTACGATGCTAGAGAAATTGTAAATATGTATGTAGCGCGATAAGATAGTCTTATTGTTCTGATCGACGTCTTTGCCAACCGGTCGCACAGCTCCGTTAAACGATCTTGTTACGAAGAGAAAAAGAATTCCTTTTCCTTCCTATGATCACATTCGTTCGTCATTAAAGAAGATGATAGATATAGAATATAGGCAATATTGCCATTACAAATTTATCAAGGGCTTTTATCGTTTCGTGTAGTTTTCGCTTATTGCATAAAAATTGCAAGTAAGCCATTACAATATTTCAGAAACCGTACGCGACGTATATAATAGCGTTTAAAAATATATATAATTAATTTCTAGTTGTGTGTAAAACCCACTTGAAAATCGTCGAAAAACAATGCTATTTTAGAACTCTATCATCTCCAGTATACGTACATCCGTGAAAGACGCTTCGATCTTTCCACATCGCGCCTTAATATCTCATTACGTCATTATTAACTTAGAATAACAGTGGAGTCGTCCCACGTTAACGTGTCGTTAAACTATCTGTACAGTATTGTCGAATTCTAAAATGCGATTCGATAGTTTGAGCGAGAAAGAGAGACTTGAGATAAAAGCGCCTTTTATAAAAGTTTCAATTCTTCGAGACAATGACTGACGTGGAACGACTCAACAATCGATTCAAATGGAGTTTGAACCACACGAAGAGGGTACGAGGAGAATTTTTTGAACGCGCGGTGCGTTCGAACAGCGACGACCGGATTTAATTTTATATATATATATATATATCCTTAGTTAATAAACTCTGATAATTGCAAACTCTGTATACACAGTGTTTGCAATTATCATTACATTGGCATTATCATTACATTTTCTATCTTTATAATGTTAGAATAATTTTTTATATATAAATAGAATCGACAGCTGCTTGTCTAAAACATATTTTGTTTTCGAAAGAGACTGCTTTTTCGCAAATTCAATGCATTCCTCTGTTTTGGCGAAAATCATAGGGACCGTGAGGCGATGTCGCTTAATTTTAGCGCCGGTCCCGACGGGGACGACGAATGGCGGCCTGTGATCTCGACGGGACATATATTTTCGAGTCGACGGGATGCGTCGACTGCGCGGCAGCGAGCCACGACGCCACGCGTCCACGCCGGAATCACTCGGCACGTCGTTGGGATGCCATCGAGACGCATGAAATTCGCCCTCTACCGCGCCACTGTTACCCCCTGATCTCTTAACGAGCCGCGTGAAACTCGCCCCCTGTGAGTGATCTATGTTTGCATAGTTCGCAAAAACACTTATTTTTATTCAAATAATAAAATTTGAGTCAAGCTATGTTTTAATGCTACAGTTGAATAATAACGTTAAATTACAAAGTGGAAATGTTACAGTAATATAAAATATAAAATCTGATAGACGTTTCGTCCTTTATTGGATTATCCTTAGTGCTGTACAATAAGATAAAAGATAAAATATGAGTATGTATAATTACATTAATGATCGCAGATAACTTTTGTATAACTCCAATTAAGGCTGCATTTTTTTATATACTCTTTTCAGTATTATTAATATTAAAACCTACTTAACTCAGAGCTTTTAATTTTATTGTTTGAATTCAATAAGTTTGTTTCTACATTAATTTGATTTATTTTTATAATCTAAAGATAAAATATTGATTTTTTACAATAAACTGATATATTAAATAAAAGTCTAATTAAAAAGACTTTAAGTTCTTAAAGGAATTAAAACACAGATGAACTGAGAGAGTAAATTTAGTGATTAAAACTCTAAGACTTAAAACATAAAACATGATGATTGTTAAATGTTCCTGAAATATTTATAATCGCATAAAAAAGTATGAGAAATAATTATATTTCTTTTAATAAATAAAAATTTGGAGAGTTAATGGAGGGTTTTGGAACTCATCAGAAAAATATAAAGGCCTTGATTATAATTCATGTTTGCATCTTTAATGAAAAAAATGAAAAAATATGAGAAAAGATTGATGCAAAATCATTTCAGAATTTTCGGAAGTATCGGCTTATCATTTATAGAGGTCAGCTTATTAAGTGCAATCGCATGCAATCGTGAAATAAAGGACTTGCACGTGCATGATACTTAAACAGGATATTTCTTTCGCATCGTGCGTGTCTGGGACACGCGTCAGCGCCTCGGAATGCAAATATGCGTTATCAGCACAAGCCGGTAGTTGAATGTCATAGCGCGAAACAGCTAACTATGTCTAAAATGGCTGCGATGAGACTCTCTTGGCAGATACGCGCATAACGTTTAGAATTCATGGCAATATACAAATTCACGAATGTAAGAGATACTCATAAACAAAGTGTCGGTTGAAATGTGACTGAATTGTGTGACATATCCTTCAACTATACAATGTGATTTACGATAATATGGATGACGATATTACGCCCGTCTTATTCTGTGGATCTTCAGTTTATAAATATATTTACGAAGCAAATGTTGGATGCTATTTTTATGTAATAACTCTACTTCTACTCTCTGATATAAAAAGCTTTGTGTAGATATAATTCTATATTAACGAAATATTAAATGAGATCTTTTAGCTTTTTGAGCATTTTGTAGTTGACCCAGTTTCTTCCTAGATAATAGCACACCCTCTTATGTAATATATTTCTCTCTCTCTCTCTCTCTCTCTCTCTCTCTCTCTCTTTCTCTCCGATATTCTTGAAGAAATAAGAGCTATCATTATTTTCCACGGATGGATGAAGGTACGCTATTGTGCCGGGAAGAGAAATATAATGCTGAAATGAACTCACCACGTCACGGTAACAAGCGGAATTCTAAGCAGTAAAGGTTCGCAATAAAGCAAGTAGCTTCTCGAGAGTACACTTCGGACAGGACTTTATTTATCGGAGGTTGTATCGCAAGGCACGAACGTCTTGCTGCGCGCATTCGTGACCGGAGTATCAATTTCTCGATTATTCGACGATAATTTGCGATCTATTAAAAAAGGAAAGAAGCCAAATCTGATTTCGCGCTCTGTTGATAGAATTACTAAAAGGATTGCCTCTAAGAACGAAATTACAGGACACTTATCAAGTATCTATAAAATAGTCTCCATTATCTCATATCTTTCGAAAAAATTTATATGAAGAATATAAATAATAGATTTCAATTTCTGCAGTTTAAAGTACAAAATACAAATTATCACGAAATTTAATTTTGTCCTTGGCAATAATTAGTGAGTTGATTACGAAAAGATTGTGGAAAGAACGTTAACGATGCTTTGTATAAAGTATGTGGAAGTTACTATTCAATGTCGAGAATAATTAACACTTCATGCAAAGAAAGAAGGGCAGAAGTGTTAATTCTTCAGAGTAAATAAAGGGAAAATGTAGAGAATGCGGATCGCGTTAACAAGCGGTGCAAAGAGTTCATGGTGAAACAATCCCCGTTGACGCGCGACTCTTTCTCTCTCTCTCTCTCTCTCTTATTTATCGAAAGACTTTCGCGGCGGATACATGCGAAGTTCCAACGGGGCGTGCCGTCGTATCAATCTCTTCAGCCGTTGTCTTTGATCTGCTAAAATAGCTGCCATGCGCTTGGCTTACTGTCGTCGGTTGGGGATTTAGCGTGGCTCGTGCTAGGTCGAGGAGGTTCTGCCCGATTAAATTCAAGCCGAAAAAAGAAGAGGACGAACGAAAAGAACGGGGAGGGAGGGGGGGGGGG